GGCATGAAGAGACACCGCTGGGGAAGCTGCTGTCCAGCCCTGCTCATACAACCAGCCTGGAGCCAGGGCTGTCCAAAAGCCTCGGTGTCACCAGTACAACCCAGCAGACACGTTAGGACCTCTGCCAGGTCTCCCTACTCTTTACCAAGTATCCAAAATGTTGATTTTGGGCAAATTGTGAACTCCATATCTCAGAGCATTTTCTGCTCTGAGTTTGGGCCACGTGTGCTGCAGGCAGGTTCTGGTCTCATCTAGGGGACTCTGAGACAGGCCGAAGCAGAAAAAAACAGTTTTCATCCCTGGGAATTTTACTTGGATGGACTGGATGGAAAGTCAGGGTCTACAATTTTTTTTTTTTTTTTTTTTTAAGCCAGATGGAAAGAACTATGACTTATTTATTTCCCCTGCCCCCCACCTAGAATAAAGTATTTTTTCTTCTTTCCTTTCTTCAGATTATGGCAACCCATGCCTGAAGGTAGGGAGTAGCTCTTAAGATGGGACTTCGAAGGGGTCTGTCTTTAACAGAACTTCATAAACCTTAAATCTTTCTTCACTGCTGGGTCTCGCTGGTCATAAGCAGGGATGGCTTAATACAGTGGGGGTAACAAGTCTTCATGGATTTTTAACCATAGATTTTTAACTATGAACACTTTCCTTTTGGTGTCAAAGTGCAAAATGAAGTTTATGTAGAAGTACAGGTATTTATTTGCCAACTGATGGACAGGATAAAGAGAGCAACTCTGGGAGGGTAGGAGAGATCGGAAATCATATTTTCTTGTCCTAGTAATATGATCTGATGCTTATTTAGAATGAGTGGTGTGTCATCCATCGAGAATGCATACCAGCTATTTATTGTGTGTTAAATCTCTTCAGAGGAGCTATAAATGCATAGAGGAGAACCATGTAACACTTTCAGAAGGTTTATGTGATGCTGTTCATCTTGTTTTTAACTGTATTTTGAAAGACTGCCAGGGCCTTAGTGGAACTCAAGTAAAGAGCATCACAGACTCAAAGAGGTTTTGACCACAGGTCAGTGTCTGTGTCTATAGTATGTCAGGCCGATGAGAGAACAAGCTTCCTTTTGGACGTATGGATTAAAAGCACACCAAAATGTATTCCCAGCTGACCTCGTTAAAAGTTTTACCCATCAGAAAGGAGGATTGCGGGTTATGCTGTAGATTAAAGGGTTCGTTTGGAAGCAATTCCCCGCTCCCCTGAACTTTTAAGGAGAATGATTAGATTTTGTTCCCTTTTATGTATCTGAATGGCTGGCTGTGCCCACACGTGTGATTCACCGTGGTGAGAGCGTGCCAGAGCAGTGTTACTCGACTGCCTCGATGGGAGCGTGGGCAGGTTATCTGGTCTGAGCCACCCGGATGCAGAACTGGGGCTCACTATCTGCAGTGCTGGAAAGAAGCAGGCAGGGAAATGATAGTCTGAAGCTGGATGTTCTTTATCCCCTTGGCTTAACCACTACACTAGGAACAGGGCTGTAAGGAGGGTTTTTTTCTTTCTTTCTTTCTTTCCTCTCCTGCTTTTGCTGTTTTTCATGGAAAAAAAAATAATCATAATGGGATTTGTTCCAATATGGAAAGGGTGAATCTTTGAAATCTTGAAGCAATTTGCTGGCTACACTACCTACCAAGCCACAATGTTATAACATTACTGATGTGGACAGAGAGCAAGACACAAAATACCCTCTGAAGTGAATTATGAGTCCAATAGCACAGATAAGTGTTTCAAAGTAACATTTAGAAAATGTAATTAACATGCCTTTTAATTTGAACTTTGACATTTCTCAGTTTGCATTGGTCTTTAGACATGAATTAACCTCTTTCCTTTTACTTTCTTGGCATTGCTACAGGTGTAGGAATTGACTGGAAACTAAGGATTTTTTCAAAGTCCCATGAATTGGGAAATTCCAAAATCAAAACTTCTTCTTAGCTGTGTTTATTCTCCTGACAGCAATGCAGATAGTGCCCAGTGGCAGCTTGTAAACAATTCGGAAAAAATAATCCTTGAGCCCCCAGGTGGTCCCGCATCAGCAATTGGAAATGTTTTGCTGGAAAAACGTCCTTCCAAGGGTATGATTTTAATGTTGAAATTCTTTAATTCTCTTATCATGTAGTTGTAATTTAAGGTGAGGGATACCATCAGAGACTGTTCATTGCTACCTGCTGGCAACTGGTTTAATTTTCATTCTTTCCTTCTCTGATATGAACCCTGCCCTTGTGGTTGCTTGAATCACATCACAGAAGGGAAAAAACAGAAGAGGAAGATGTGGTATTTGTAGCAGTTCTGCGTGCGCTGCAAAGCTGCCCCTGCAGCGTCCTCGCGCCCGCGCGGGGCTGCTGTCCGAGTCACCCGGGGCTGGGGGCTCTTCTGGTTCTGTCTGCAGGAGAATGAGGCTGGATCCTCCTCCCTGGCAGGGAAAGGTCCTGGACTGGTGGGATTTGCTTTCCAGTTTCCCTCCAAACCCAGTAGAACAAAGTGATTCCCTAAGAACGTGCAAAGCCATTTTAGGGTCTTTTTACTGAAGTGATGTTTTTGCCAAAAATACCTCCAGAAAATAAATTAGGCACTCGGAGCTGGTTACTGCTCTTGATTCTTGGCTCACCTCTCTGCTGAGCTATAGGCAGTGTTACAGCCCTGTGCAGATGCGGGCGAGCAGCCCCCACGTATCTGCTTGCGGGGCCCTTGCCAGCCCTGAGGCCCAGCAGGCCGGCAGCGCTGACCTCGTGCTTTGGTCTCATGGCAGCCACCGCCCCACAGAAGGGGTGGGGTTGGAAGGGGGCCCTTTGGGCTGTCTTACACTGTCAGTAAACTTGACGAGTTTAAAGCAGCCCTCGGCGTGTCCTGCTTCGCATCAACACCATGTTTGTTGTACTGGGAAAAAGCGGAGCAAATCCCTTTTGGGGGATTTGCAGATGCCTTTGGCAAGCTCTCTGCAGAGGAGCAGGAGCCTTTTCCCTTGCTGTCCATAATCCAGTTACAGTTCATTACTTAGATGATATCCTAAGCGTGTGTCCTGGTGTAAGAGGTTGAGTTGTTTTGCTGGCGTAAGGAATGTACACCATGGTTTAAGAAACCCGGCCTACACTTGGCTGATGGGTGACGTTTCATGTTTGTGCCTCTGTCACATTACAGAGAGAAATTGCGTACCGAGATGCTGCGCCCTGCAAGAAAGGGTTTATGTACACGGTATTTCCCTTTTTGCCCAGGGTGGGGAGGATTTTGGTTTTGTGTGTATATATATATATATTATTTTTTTTTCTCTTATACACTGAGGTGTTAATGCTGTGGGTACCGCGGTGGGCCATCCAAGCTGTGCCAGCACTCTTCTGTTTCTCTAGGAACAAAGTAATGAAAAACTACTTCTGGAAAACTGATACACATATTTTCTCTAAGGAAAACTTGTTCGGTAAGCTTAGTGAATTGCTTATTGATCCTGGCTCCTCTGCGGCTCTTGTGGCCAGCCGGGCACGCAGGTCCTGTGCGCTTCAGCCCCCGTTCCCTCCACACAGGATGTAACAGGAGTAGTGAAATCATCCCAACCGCAGTGACACAGTGGTCAAAGGTAGGATAATGAAGTAAGTGAATGTAATTACTGAAGAGAGCACTGCATTAAGAGCAGGATCCACAAATAATCACCGATGCCATCACTCAGCACGGAGAACATGGGAGGTGGGGACATACGTTCAGTATCTGACCAAACAAGAACTTGTGTTGAAGTCACAAGTGCAGAGGATTTTCTTTTAGACCATGGGTGAGTTTGAGGTTGGATTTGTGTGGAAGAGTCTACTTGATTCTCTTCTCCTTGCTAACAGCTGAAATATTTTCTTTTATTCTGAATTCCTCAGTGACAAGATTTTATTTTTTCTGCCTTCAGAAAACAATGACTTGTGGATAACAGCGTATTTAGGAATTTTTAAAAATGCACCCTATGATGATTACTTACACCAAATCTAAACCCAAGGAGAGGAGTGAGAAGAGTCCATCTGACAAGTTTGCAGCAGCCTTTTATTGCAGGGGGGGAAGATTTTTGAAGTAGAAGTTCCACATGCAGCAGACAGTTGTCTTCAGTAAATGCCACACACTTGTCTATGGAGAAGCTATGAAAAACATTACCCTAAAGAGTGGTCATTACGTTAAGGTGTACAAGGAGACATTGTAAGGTAGTGTCCATTATTAAATGACAAAAGGCACTTGCTATTTTACTGGCCAAAAGATGTTTTCAAAACAAAACATGTCTGAGGATAAAGCAACAGTACAAATCCAAGAGAAGTTAAATATGTCCCCAGAATATATTCCTCCTTAAAAAAGACACTGAATAATAATAATATCTCTTAGACCAATGCTTCTGTCACACAATTTAAACTTTGAAAGTCAAGAATACAGTGAGGTTGTAGTCCTTGATTTATTTTGCTGATTTAAAAAAAAACAAAAACCAAAAAACAAAAACACATAACTGAACAACCAAGAGAAGCTCTTCAAATTCTAGTCATCCTGGCCCCACCACCAGTGCTATAATATAAACATATTTTTGGGGGCAGGAGCAATGCAATTGAATAAATCAATTCTGCTGCCAGCTGTTGGTTTTATTTCTTAGCAGCTGACTAAACACCACAAGCCCCAGGCAGAATTATTATCAGGTAAAAGTGTTTTGTCTTTCAAATAGACAGTCCCTCGTTGTGTCTCTGCATTGCAGAGCACTTTGTTGCATATTCAGCCACAGGCTGAGTGCCACATTCAAAAAGTGTTTGGAAAAAGACAGAACAAAATAAGGTCCTAAAGGGGGTAGGCAAGAGTGATACAACAGTCCTCAATCTGGTCAGCCCCAATGCTTGAACAGAAAGATAGTCAGTATATCAGAAGAGGGACACACAGGGTTCATTTGCAGGTACTTTGAATGCCTCCACCAAAACCAAACGCTTTCCTCTCCCTGCAGTTTTGTAGAATTCCTACAGGCCATCCTGAAAGCCCAGGAAGTCAAGTTCGTTTCTTTGTCCTGTCATGAATGTAACCTAATGCTCCATTTTCCTCATGGTATCTTCTATATTCACAGTTTCAGAGTATTTTGAATCTTATCCAAGTCCAGTACCACTCAGAGCTCATCCTGGTTACAAGAAAATAAGAATTAAAAGTTATTCTGAAAGAGAAATTTAAAATTTTCTGTAGTATTACTTCAGCAGTTGGTGAAACATTTCTTAAATAGAATTCAGCATACTCAACAGCTGTCCATTAATACCTTCTTTGTAAGAAAACCATGACAATTACAGTCTATACATCTATATTTTGCTGCCTGATTACTAAGTTCAGCCTGAGGTGCAGTTTATCTTGGTCATATTCCAGATTGCAACTCTCCTGTGGTCATCTATGAATTTTGTTCAGTCTTGCCATAATTGGTGTGATAACTGCTCCAAGCTCTGCTAAGTTTCTGGACTTGGGTTTGGCAAAGTACAAGGAACCCAAACAAGACTTAAAATAAAGCCTGTATGATCAGTGGTGGAAGCTACAGTGTTTAATATTTCATAAAGAGCAAAGGCTCCCAGTGATTTAAATGGCTATTCCTTACATTAGTATCAGTCTTTGCAGAATACAGGAGAATAAGAATTCTTACCTTATTTCTAGATTTCTTTCGTTTACTTTGAATAGCTTCTAACTTTTCATTCAAAAGATTGGCAATGCCTTTTGCATCTCTGCTGTCCACAAGTTCCCCAAGAACATTTTTCTTGAAAATAACAACAACAACATTAAAATGAGTAGTGTATTATCTGTGCTATCCAACGAATAGAAAATAATATGCTTATTTTCAGATATAATTCAGGAGAAATGCCGGAAGACAGAAGATGGTTATGGTAAGTTGATTTATCACTCATATTTTTTTTGTCTGAATTTCCACAATACTAATGCTCTTTATAGCAAGAACTGCTCTTAGCTTTCAAAACTACACAAGTTATGTCATCATAGTTAATGAAACCTGAGGTAATTAGTTATAATTCCATCACACTTATCGAACTAAGTATTTCCTGTTTGTAGCCATGCTTGTTACCTTATAATTGTTCACCAAACGTGTTACTGTGGCTTGCTAATGTGAGATTAGAAAAGGCATTATTCTTACCACCATGGGGGAAAAAAAGAAAAATCACATAAAATAGCAAGGGAGTGTGTGAGGAAGAATTTCTGGAATCAGATATTAATATTTCCCAGAAAAGATTAAATAAAGAAAAAGAATTTAAAGACTTAATTTTTAGAGTGCACTCAATACTTTTGCTTCAGCATTAATAAATATAATCAAAAATGTTACTGAATTACTAAAGAGAATTTAGTAGTAGCCAATTGTTTTACCATCAAGAATGATGGTGACCTAGAACTACCTGAATAGTGTTAATGGGAAATGGCTGATTTCAACACGGCATCATTTAAAATTGAATGTTTTGATAAGGTTTGTTCTTTTGGTGTGACAGCACAAATGCTTTGCCTCAATTTTTTGTTTTGTAATAAACAATATTTAAGTGAAAAGCACAGTGAAGTGTTTCACGCTAAAAGAATGTTTCTCCTGAGCCAAACTGAATTTGTAGCTGCTGGTGATGACTAAAAACCATTTTGGCACATGAGTTTCCTGCCAAATTTGAATTTGGTTCCTGTTAAGTCCACACTTTATTTACCGCACTATTAATTTGAACTATACACTTTTTTTGGTAAAACAGTATTACTGTACCATTGTCCTACTATTTAGACTATGTGATTGAAATCAACTACATCAATTTATCTCCTGAAGCTACTATCTATGTAAGGTACTTGCACAGAAATAGTTTCTGTTAAGCTTTCAATATGAAATGAAACCCACCCGGCAGCAGCACCATCTCACTGCTGTACACAAAGGGGGCTCTTTACCTTGGTTCCTTGGTAGGGGTAAAACTTGACAGTGGGGTAGGCTCTGATATCAGCAGTTTGGCAGGTCGTCGCGTACGCCTGGCAGTCGACTTTCCCAGCTTTTACTTTTCCTTTCACGGTCTAAAAAGAAACAGGCTTATTAGAAAGAAACTCCAAGTTTGCATGGCTGACTATAAGCAAGTAAGTTGAATAAAGAAGCATGCAGCTGAAACTAAACAAGTTGATTAAGGAAATTCAGATCAATCCTTTGCTTGCTTCTCAAAGTGCTCAGGATGTATCAGAAGGCATCCCGTGGGGGATGAGGCTGGAGCACAGCACACCACAGCGGTGCAGGTGAGGCCCTCCTAAGCTGGAGGGCCTCTGTGTGCATCTCTGCAGGAGCCTAAAGAAACCAGCAAAGACTGACTGGCAAATGTTGACTTTCAGTTAGGATTAGGCGCCGGTACCTCAGCTACCTTGAAAATGTGACTGGTGTTGGCTATTGAGGATTTTGGTGAGTTTGTTACAGAATTACAGTAGACTAGTATGAAAATAAGAAATCGAGTTGTCTAAAAATGAAATGTATTTGCTATCATCACTCCTGAGGGTGACATTCTGTAAGTTTTTTGCTGAACAGAAAGGTCAATATTTGCCTACCACAAGGGTGAAGTACAAACTAAAGATGAGTTAATGATTATGTCTCAAAACATCAAAATCATGGTGAAATGCATAACAAAAATGAGTTAGGTATTTACAAATTGAAATATTAAAGCTCTGTTATTCTGTAGATAAAGAGAGATATGTGATTTCTGGCTGACTGCTAAGAAATACAGTGCTGGTGAACGTGATCCTGTGCATCATAAGCATTACACTTCCACGGAAGCAATCCACAAATGCAGTTAAAAACCTACCCTCGCAAGGATCTCGAATTCAGGAGCAAAATTTTGGCAAGGTCCACACCAAGGAGCATAAAAATCAATGACCCAGTGATCTTTTCCATTCAAAACCTTTTCTATGAAACTCTGAGGAGTAAGATCTACAGAAACTTGGGGTAAATACCTAGGGAAAGGAGGAAAAGCAGTCATAATGCATTCAAAACTTTGAACATACCCAAATTTCATTACAAGCCTAGATTTTTTTCTGAAATTAAGGGAATTATTAATACTTGGGGCATTTCTATATTTTGTAGTATAAAGGAATTACTTTTTAAAATGGCAGACTAAATAATAGCAAGATCAACAGAAAATGAGTGGACTGTAAGAAGTTGGCTATTTCTCCATAATTTTAAGGTTTGATTTAAAAGACCTGGAGACTTTAACAGGTTTTACATTTAGTAATAGGTACACCTGCATGTTTCTAATCCTTAATTAAACAGTTTTTGGTTTAATTTCTCTTAGCAAGGAAATTATGTGAGCAGCTATGAACAAAGCTTCATGCAATAACTCACCCCAGTGCCCAGGCTCTCATTGAATATGAATCTCTGTGCCAGCCATTGTAGCTGCTGCAAAAAGAATAAAACGGAGCAACTCAGCTATACAGCAGGTTTGAATTGGGTTTCAGGGAGAAAAACAAACACACAAAAACCTCTGTAAAATGGTGATAAGGCAGTAAATAATGAATTTATGTGCATATATTTTACACTATTCCTACTAGTGGGAGAAACCACTTTGCTTTCAGGTCTGAACAAGTAATAGTCTCACTTATTCAAAGATGCAGAATTAGGACTAGAAGATGAAGAGAAGAAAGAGAAGAAAATTCCATGTTAAGAGATTACAAAACTCATGAACTTTGATAGCTCAAAGTATTTTGAATCAGGGGTCTTTGAAAGAGCTCCAGATATTGTAAGGTCTATTAAACATGAGAAAGACACTGAAATGTTCTAGTATATTTTCTGATTGACACTCATTGATTACAGCATTCTTTATACTTTCCTCAACTTGACAATGGGGGGAAAAAAAAAACCCACCAAGGAAAAATAGCAACTATAATTCATTATTTGCAGCTTCAGAATAACTTTAGTTTGAAATTCCCAAGGATAAGATCAAGAATTAATTGGGGATTTACATCTACTCCTCTACCACACTCTAAATTTTTTATTTTTTACTTTTTACTATAGAAGTGTCTAGTCAAAATATGACCTGAAAGCTGTTGTTGGTTTTATTTTAAGAGAATTTTTCCAATCAGGTCTTGGCATATTTTCAAAAGAATCATGACTCATGCTTGTTAGAGCATCTATCTCCTAAACAATTTGTTCTCGGTGAAGGAAAAAAATTTACTTTTAATAAAAATTGTATCCAGAAGAACCAAATAAAAGCAAGCATCCCCTGATGAAAGATACAGAAGACTGCTATTAAGCACTATGTTGAGTTTCTCCTTGGATTTTCAGCTTCCATAGAAGCACATTTATCACAAATTTATTCACAATGGCAAAGTGAAAGGGGATGCCTAGATATACAAAAAGGACAATTTTTGCAGTGATGTTGATGTGCTGTTGCCTGCAAGGACAATCAAAGGATTATATCCCTCACTTCTCTAGAGATGAAGTTGCAATGACTCTCATCTAAAAATAGTTCTATATTATTTGTCTTACATCATGATCTTCAATATGTTACTGAACTTAGAAAAGTGGCAATCGTTAAATAACGAGCAGTAAAAATCAAGGCTTCTGAGGCAATACAACTTAATCAGCTGTAAATTCTTTCTGTTACACATCATAAGATCTTCCAAACTTAAACTACTTACTAATATTGTTGAGCTGTGTTTGATTTTTGAGGAAAGAGTCTTATTTCAGGATATCCCCGAATGTTTTCTTGTTGACAGAAGGAATAGTATCTTTGACAATCCACACTCCCTACACTGATCAATCCATTCAACATCTAAAAAAAGGTTAAAAAAAAAAAAAGTCAAACATGCTAATCAATTTTACCATGATTTCAGTAATATTCCAGAATTGAAGTTCTAGTTAAGCTTCAAGGGAAGCTTGAGGGAATTCCCTCAATTCTAAGGAGTGAGAAAACACTCTTGTATCAAAGGAATAATTGGATTATTATATCAATGTACTGATCCTTAAAAAACAACCAACACAAACCTCCACTGTATCGAACACAATATAAACGGACATGCAGTAATTCCTTATTTTGTAAATATTAATCACCAGTCTATTTCATCAACGATTGTCAGACACTAGGTCTACAGTCTCAATGACTTGAATTAACAGGATACAAAAGCAGGAAGAAAAAAGAAAAAAATAAAATAAAATAAAAAGGAGTGCTATTTACCCTGGCCATTTTTTTCCATTCTGGCATTAAAGCCTGGCAAGGCCCACACCATGGAGCATAGAAATCAATCATCCAGGTTTCCTCTCGTTTTCTTCTCTTAACTAATTCAACGAACGTCTCTGGTGTTAGGGAGACCACTGATGGATTCCTAAGATCCTAAAGCAAAGACAACTTATAGATAATTACTTTGCAACTTTGTTATCCCTACCTAGTGCCATCACATCCAAACAGATTGCATAAAATGCTGAAAACATCTATCTTGGTGAAATTGATTTGCTGCTGTGGAAGGGAAGCCCCCCACCACTGAAAGGCAGGAAAGGAAGAAAAGTCGGAGTCAGCCTGACAGTCACATGCCTCCTCTGCTATTAGGCAGAGGGAAGAGCTGTTAAAGATATGCAACACGATGGCAAAATGGAGATTCTCTGCCTTTCCCTTATAGTGGGAAGCTGGCTGCACTACTGTTCATCTGCAAGAGGGCTAAGTTCTGCTGGCAAATATGGAATTTGTTGGACTCAGCCCTGTTGCTTCGTCTGGAAGGCAGAGGAATGTTTAAGGTGCACACAGCGCATCAGCTGAGCACTAGCTAAAAGAAACACACGTATTTGAAGACGACCATCTTTGCTGGTTCTCGTGTATACTACTGTGGTTGCTGTTGAGGGGCTGCCTGAGAAATGAACAGTCTCCTCGAAGTGTGGAGCTGGCAGTGGAAGAACATGAATGCTGGAGGAAAGACGGACACCTTGAGGAACACATGAGAAGTCTGCAGGGCAACAAGTTAATTTACAAAAATATGAAACTTCTCCCATGTTAAGCCATTTTCACTATAATGTCTTTTTAATTCTTTTATCCTTTCTTTGAGGTAAGAATCAGTAGTAGTATTTTACATATTGCAAAGATACCTTAAGTGATTTGCCAATTATATCAAAGAAATTTCATAAAATTTCACCACTCCTTATCTCATTACTATAATTAATTAAAAATATCTTAGAATCTTTTGCATCTAAAGAACATGTTTGTGGACATAAGCTGCAACACACCTCGTAAATCACGTACCTCTATAAACTCCAAGATCTGCTCAGCAGAATGATGTCCTTCATACTCATGAACATCAGACTGATTGAACACAACTGTTGTTGGATAAGCTCGAATATTATGCTACCAAAAGAGACAAAATTGCAAGGAATGATTAGGTGCCCTATACTGTTCTTTAGCTGTTGTTGATATTTGTGGCTCAGGACTGCTAATGTGCCCAGATTGTAACGCACAGTTGCTCACAGCTACATGAACATAAGCATTTGGAAATGCTCCAAACCACTACAGCAAAAATATCAATTGTATTCAGGGACCACAGACATAAAAACCACCCAGCACTTTTGTCACGCTCCACAATTACAGAAACCACCTTGCTTAAGCCTTATAAAATAAAAAGCAAAGTCTCTTGAGTAAACAAAAAAGTTGATTGCCAACATGTTCAAAAAATATTATACCAATATAAATGCATTTATCTATTTATCTGTAGATTAGAAAAAAAAAGTTCTGAGGTGGAAATTTAACCCATATTTTGCATTTTTGTATTATCTGTAGAAATTACATAGTTAATGCCTTCAAAAAAACCTTGTTTCCATCTGACACTAAAACAAACAAACAAAACTCAATAAATGTAAGAAAGCAAATGTCTTTGAAACAACTTTTTAAACTCCTTCAAGCTTACCATGTTGCAAAGCCCTTCATGGACAGTACAGTCTAATGTTCCAAATTTAAGTTGACCATAAAGATGTTTTGATGCTTTTCTCAGTTCTGGTAACAAAGCTCGACAAGGAGGACACCACTAGAAAATGAAATACAGATAAGTGCATTTGCTTTCTCTGCAGTTGACTCTTGGAGAATGTGAGCTGGTTGTGATGAATAGTATGTTTCCTTAATGATTAGATTCCACTAAAAACAAAAATCATACAACAATCCAGGAACTACTACATCAAGAACTGAAAAATCACAATATTGTCTCACGATACGGAAAGAAACTTTGAAGATGTTGCCAGTATTTGGCCACAATGTTACATAACAGTTTTTACATACAGAGAAATGTAGACATTAAATACCTACTGGTGCAAAGAAATCCACGAGCCACGGTTCCTTCTCTTTGTCAGGAAAATTCTGAGGCCCCAAAGTGATAACATGAGAGTTTACACTCTCTTTGGCAAATGCAACAATGTCATATAGGATCTTCTTTCCTTTAAAATGACAATGGAGAAAGGAAGCTTTATTTTCCCCTAGGAGAATCTTATTCAAAACTCACTGACAGCAGTGGGAGTCCTTCAATTGCCTTTACTGACCCTAAAACAAGGCCTGCTAGATAAAGCAGGCATCGTCTCCCCCTCACTCAGGAAGATGTCTTGGAAGTGCCTGGGCAAGCCCCGCTGTCTCCAGGCATTATCTGCCATTTAGCTAAATACTGAGCTGGGTGTTTAATTGGCATTAGCCAAAGAAACATTTGACCCAGGACAAAATGTAATCCAAGCATCCTTCTTACTTTCCTTCTTCTTATACCAAGATTTTTGCTTTAACTTCTTGCAAGCTGCGTTTGTAATAGCTCACAGGCTGAAAAATCAGGACCTTGTCAAATGGAAATATCTTGCGCCTCATTCTGGGACTACACTGATTGTGGCTTGCTACAGTTGGGCTCATCTGTTTTTTGCCACTGACATTTTGGAATTCTTTTCAAAGGGACATGGTAATACAACCTTACCTATGACCAAATATCTATTCCTGAAAAAAGCATATGTGGTGAAGCCTCAATACAGGTTTTCTTGGGCATGAAAGGAATTGTTGTTAGTGCAGGAACACGTGAAACCAAGCGCAAGGTTCTCAAGTTGAGAGCACCAACTAAGTCGCAGTAACCGTGATAAAGTGTGCGCCTTGCAGCATTCCTGGGTTATCCTCCCCAAAGCAGGGGGTTATCCTCCCCAAAGCTGTCCTCATCAGCTTTGTGCATTTCTTTCTTATTCAAAGGAAACGCAAAGGGATAGCAAAGAAAATACATCTGCTGACTACTTATCAAAAAGAGAAAAAAGAAAAATTACAAAGCTGTTGTTTTGCAAAGCAAACGTAACTCACCAAAGATAATGTCACCTCAAAGTGAATGTGTAAGTGTTTAAACTTGTTAAATTTCCCTACCGTGATGAATTTCGTAATCGTCAGTTCCTTTTCCTTTGAAGACAGCTAGACAGGGCTGATAGACATAAAGTTTATTGCAGATGGTTGGTGAGGAAACGCAGTCAAACTTGCCAACCTATTTAACAAGACAGCACATTAGGGTTCATTTAAAGCCAAAAGGTAAAAAAGTAGAGTAGTAGCAGCCTTTTATAAATAACAAAGGCCTTAGGACAATCTCATAATTATGTTTGAGGAAAACTCACAACTCTATTAGGCTATTCTCCTAATTCTTAATTTAAACACAATTTGTTTGAAATCCATAGATTATAGAACAACATGGACCATATGTCTTTAATAGGTACTTTGAATTACATCATGAATTACTAACCTAGTGCTGGCTTTAAAAGAGTTACATCAGACTACCAGAGCAAACCGTGTCCCTTACAAAATCAGGTGGTAATAAACAGCTGATAATAAGGAACAACATAGCCACTTGTTTTCTGAATGCAAATAGAGGTTAACACACCTGGATATGTTCATCTTTAAGTAGAAAGTTCAGTTTTTTAAATTCCTGTACACTTGATTTGTCACCCTCCCCAAACTGGAAGAAAATCAACCATCGGTGATGAGCCAAACGGTCCTTATAACGGGGAGAGAAAGAAAAAGAAAAAAGTTACTTCTAATTTCTATCAATTTATCAATTCCTATAGATTTTGGAAAGGAAAATGATCAATTATTCTCTGTCATTTTGACTATAATGAAACAATACTAGACCAGTCTACGTGGATGAAATTCAGTTCATATTTAATTTAACATAAGCAAACAAATATTTTTTTCTTTCCTATATTACTGAATACTAAAACAAAATTCACCAAAATATATAAATAAATCTCCCTACTTTCATTCTTGTGCTAAAATACAAAAGCAGAATTAAGCAATTTTAGCTAGAGGAAAAAAAAAATCATTGTCATCTAGAGAAATACCGGGTTGCTGTACCAACAGAAATTGAAAACACAAAAGTAATAATTGATGAAAAATATAAAGATACATATATAAAAAAAAGATTTAGAGGCAAATAAACATATTTTTAAAAACTTACCTCTAATGATGCTGGAGATATAATTTCAAAATCTGGCAGATGCTTCATTACTTCTTGATATATTTCTCTGGCATCCAATGAGTTAAGAAACTAGAAAGGAAAGTCAAGCTCTATTTATTATAAGTAATAAAAACATCAACCTGATTGCTGATGACAAGCATTTAAACTGTCAGAGAAATTATTCTGATTAGTTTATTTCCATCAACTGAAGAGTATAGTTAACATACTATTTGATTGATGACTTTTTCATATACAGAATTTCACAAATATTTTTCTCAGAATACTTTTGAGTGTGTTTTCCCATATTATTAAACTTAAAATATAATATTAGGTCAAAATGAATCCTAGAAGCAAGTCTCCAGATCAAACCTCAAATCAAGTTCTACAAACCCAATTTTACAGGCCTTCTCTATTTGCATTATACAGATTCCTATGTTTCCATAATATGTAAAAATTAGGAATGAAGAGATCATTAACTCAGGTTGGTAGGCTACAAGATTGAAAGCATGTATTTTGCAAGTTTTATTTTCTTTTTTAGAGGATATGGATGACAGTAGTGACAAGGAAGGAACAAGCCATGCTTCAAACTGTGACATTTAAGTTAAAACTATCATAGCAATGTAGGAGCAGGTTGCAATAATAGCATAGAGAGGAATAATAGAGTCCATATCAACAGGCAGCATAGGAATGCTTTATCACCTGTGTGCCAGAACTCCCTTTCGAGTAGTATTTCTCAAAATTGTGATATCTGGGACACATTCTTTCTGGAATAGGATTTGCAGGTGCGTGGCCGCTCTCCCAAGCCTGCCCAGAATAACAGGGCAGCAGCTTCAGGACTAGATCTTCTTGGGTTTGTCACAAACCCCCCACGCTCTGAGCCCACAGGCTGCTGCTGCTGCCTGTGCTCTGTTCACCCAGCCGCTCACCAACAAGCTGGGGGCAGCACTGGGGGCCACTGCCTTAGAAGATGAGAGGGATGTAAATGCACACCCGTGGGTAGAAGCAAAGGGAAAAACAAAATTATCTATTCAGCTTTTTATAATCAAACTGTTAGTTATCTATCACTCTTTCATCGCCATCGGCCCATTTTATATAAATACAGAACTGTTTAGAAGCAACTCGTACCAAGACACCTCCTTTCTCTTTGTTATTTAAGGTGGCTCCAGGTGGAAAGTATGCTGTAGTACTAGATGAGATATCTAAATTATCACAAAGCTCACCCTGGGTGCCACAGTCCATCCAGCCTACATTAACAAGACCTACTTGTAACAAAACAAAACAAAACAAAACAAACACACAGTATTTTCAAATTCAGGTTCAGAAGTACTCCTGAAAATTCAATATAAGCAATTACATGCTACATTTAGAAAATGGAAGGAGATTTCACATCATAAACTCAACAATCGGTATTAATTCATTTGCATTAAAAAAAAATGTTAAATATTTAGTGTCACTCCAAGCTATTCATTAAAAATATTTCCAGAAGCTCATGGGTGAAGTCTTGGTTCCACTGAGGTCAGTGACAGATTTTCATTACAATTTCATGCTTTCACTTCTGTTACTTCACTTTCAATAAAACATGTAATGCTTTCAAGTGAAACTGCTTACCAACATGCCAGCAAGCTTAAGGCGTGTTTGATAACTCAAACAATCTGCAAAACAAAAACATTTTATTCCAAAGATAAAACTTCAAATTACTAATTCACTTTGCCTACTCTTTTTCACAATTATCCCCTTCCCACCTATAAAGGTAAGCCTTGCGAAGGATATGATTCCTGGCTATCTATCCAGCATTTCAGTTAACTCAAACTAGTTAAGATCCGGTAGTCAGCACTTGACTGCTGTCTACTCTAAGGTAAAATGCTGGAGAATTATTCCACTCATTCATTAACAAAGAACTACCATTTAAAAATATTATTTGCTTTACTAAGATTGACCTCTAAAATGTCGTCTTACATAAATCAATTAAAAAATTGGAAAATTCATCTACATGTTGCCATGAAACGAGATTTCAATGGAAATACTGAATTCCCGTGTTTCAAATAGTAATTATGCATTACAGTAAACACATTACACGTTCTAATACCCATTCGGACACAGGCTGAACAGTTACTCTGATACAGATATTTTCAGAAATAAAAAGAGGTATCAACATCACTTTAACTGAACCAAAGTTGAAATCTTAATACTTAGGACTAATGATCTTAATGAATCTTAAAGGGTTACAACTTGAAATCAAACAATCAACAAACACAGATCCAAGACTGGAACTATGGTTATTCACAGAACAAAGGTCTCTACATAAGACAGAGAAATCTTTATTTGTCAAAGGTGTAGCAAATTTCCTGAGCGAATTAAAGCAACTTTACCACATTTAGTATGCAAAACTGTCACAATTTTAACATTTGCTCACAGTGGTTGTACACATATACACACATACACTACACATCTATTTGTACTATAATACTAAAAATCATAAAATAATATGTGGGAAGTCATAAAATAGTTGGATTGTTGTATTACATTATATATGTGGAAAATACACATTCCAGCTTATCTGATAGTTATCTAACAGTTCAAGTAACTTTATTAAATGTCTAATTGACTACGTAAATTCATTTCTTCTGGAAACATTAGGAGGCCAAATGTCTGCTCTGACATATATTGGTCTATTAGGAGGAAAACAAACAAACAAACAAGAAACCCAAGTTCAACAACTAAACCAACTCTAGGCTAATTTTTACACACTAAGTGAACACCAGGTACAGACTGGCCATCAGACATAAAACCACATTACAAAAAGGGATTTTTACTAGTAGTCTTGAGACATATCCAGCCAATTTTTGGTAAGTGCTATTTTGTGGGGGAAATGCATTCCTCCTCCTACCTAGGTATCATGACAAGACATTATGCACCTGTGCACTATTTGTTAAGTTGAGCCTGAGATGACACTGAAGTCAGAAGCCTTTCCTGCCCGTTTCCTTCCTGAGGGCATTAAAATTCTGCCATTTTAGTGACTCATGTGGCGTTAGCAAATCCTAGTAGGATAATCTTTCCATTAAGGCTTTCCTTCCTGAGGGCATTAAAATTCTGTGCCATTTTAGCGACTCATGTGGCATTAGCAAATCCTAGTAGGATAATGTTTCCATTAAGTAGGATAATCTTTCCATTTCCTTTGGCCAAACTGCCTCTAAAACAGAACTTTTATGACCCACAGCCCAGGTACTGTGATTGTCTTATAGGATCTTGATGAACTTTCTTCAAGAGGGAAGCAAGAGGGATTGTGCCTTTGTCAACACAAGCATCAGCTTCCTGCTTGCCTTGCTTGAAGGGTGGATAATGCACCTACCTCCACGTTCAGCACAGAAAGTGATCAGCCAGCCAACACCAGAAGCAAATGAAGTTTCAATGGCATTAACAAAGTTTCCTAAGAATGAAACAACATGCACGAGTTTTTGACTGGTTTCATATATTTAAATATAACTATGAAAAAAGAACATAAAAAAAGTTTATAACAAAACATAAGACATTAATATTACCTGCCCATAACTCAGTGACGGTGCTTGTAACATATTGCATAGCAAAGTTCTTTAAACTCTCTTTTGACCTGTCTCCATAATATTTCACAGGTTGCTAAACAAGACAAAAAAAAAGTATTTATAAAATGCATAAAATATACTAGTGTTGTTAATATGGGCATTTATGCAATGCAGGACCCCCAAAAAACCCAGCTCGAACTGTTCTCTCCCTCCCACAGTGGAATGTTTGGAATTTAGTCTTCAATTGAACTTTGTGACATGCAATCTCCTTCCCAAGTCCAGCAATATAAGGAAAATTAAGCCTTAGAAACACCAACTCCCATTAATTATATTTCTATTTAAATAAAAATAAAATTGCTTGCATCAGTCCACTCGGTGTGTGTTTGCACAATCTCTGTTTCAACCTCTTAGAGCTTATCACTGTCAAAACACACCTAACTATTCAAAGGTGATTTGTATTCCACACCAGCTTTACCATTTAATTCTCAGCAGGCAGCTATAAAGCATGAAGTAGGTAACAGGCTACTGCAGAAGAAATCTTGCGGAACCAAGCTCCACGTTTCCTTAGGTACACAGCGCTCCTACTTCGATTCAAAATGCAGACTATTCTTTGTATCTGAAAACTCCATTTTAACACTGCTGAACTCTTTAGGCCATTCAAGTGCTTAGACTCATTGCTTCTGAAAATACCCACTTACATCGTAACTGACACGCTGCATGGTAGAATGATTTGGAAAAAAACAAAAAAGGTTCTATAAAGCAAGTATCTATTTTTAAGGTTAATTGCTGTACAAACTGAATCAAAGTGAAAACATCCAAGTCAACTTAACCAAGGTGAAGTAAGAAAAAAAAATGTTAAAAGGAAGTTAGGCAAATGAAAATATAATCGTTATATGGAGAGTTATCATTGAACAAGCATTTAAAGAAATATTCTTCCGAATTTTAATCTTTCTGAAAATGTTTAAAGTTTTATCACTCACCATTCCAGTTTTGAAAACATACAGACTTGGATAGCTGTTAATCCCTTTTATTCGACAAAGCATTCTGTTATCTCCACAGTTGACAGCTCCAATGCGTATCACTCCATCCATCTCTTTAGCAAACTCTCTCCACTGTGGGGGAAAAGAAAAAGGAAAAAAGTAAGCTGGATAATTTTCCTATAAGAATATCATGAAAAAGTTGCCGCATCTTGAATCACTATCTCAAGTTTCAACTTCAGAACAGAAATCCACCTGTCTGAGTTTTACTCTGGCTGCAAACAGCCATGTTTTCAGCATGAATTCACCTGCTGCATGTACATACCGTGGGTGCCAACTCATGGCAGTGGGAACATCGGGGAGAGTAAAAATTCACAAACCACAGCTCCCCAGAGTTAACAGCAGCATCTACATCGAAAGAAGAAAAGCATATAAAAGAGATGTATAGCTACACGGTAGCTTTATCTAGAATGCTTTTTTCTACATCCCTCCTGCATCCTCCTTTCCGCCCAAAAAAGTTGAATTAGATTTTTTTATGTATTGGATAAGTTAGTAATAGCAACCCAGATGGGATAACGATTGCATCCCACTTGCACAAACTTGCTGGTGTATACAAGCACATCAAAATCATACTTGAAAGGATATCAGCAGCTCAATCCTCAACACCTGCTTACTTCTATTAGTTGAACTATTGAAAAAATAACAGTTAAAAAACATAAAAACAGACCTTTTACAGATTAACCTTGCTGATATTTTCGATAGCGTAAGTTTGGTTACCTTAACAACAAAATACAAGTACTAAGCCACTTATACCCAATAAAATGTTCCACTTCCTTATAATTGTTTTACTTTTCTGATGGGTTTCACCAGACCATCTGTTTTATGTAAACTCCCTGTCTAACACTTTAAAATGTCATTTGAAATAAAGTAAAAATAATTGCTAAAGAAGCCGGGGAAGCATAAAGAACTAAGCTTACTACTAAATAAAAATATAAACACAAATATACACACACACTTGAATTGCTTGAATTGTTTGGCTTTCGGTCTCTCCATTTTTGGACATAAGTTGAATGAACAAATGACCATGACACCAAGATAATGACATTTCTCTCTAGTCTCTATGTTAATTATATAAATCTTAGCTTTTAGAAGAGAAGAAAAAAGAATGGATGAACTCAATTTACCTTTCCGGACCTGATTTTCAATATCTGATGTCACCTTTTTCAACCTCTGTGCAAGACACAGTTATCCAATTTTCACTTCAGAAACACAAACAGGAATATAATAGAAAGGAAATTCTATCGACTGCATTTTTAGACTGCAATTTACCAATTACAATTGATTAAACTGCCTCATCAGAAACTTACAGTGACAACAGCAACTGCAAAAGAGTAATGATAAACACGACAAACAAAATTTAAAATTAAATATTTCCTCTTCCTAGGTCTCACAAAATCTCTTTCGAACTTGAGTGGTTCATACCAATGTATTTGCTAACTGGCACTTGCCAGGAAGCATCAAGGGTTTTTTGGTTTTGGTTGCCTCAGATGATTTTTGACAGATATGTAATAGATATGTTTAGTATATAGCTCAGAATGAAAAAAAAAAAATGTTATTCTGGGTTGATATATTGGCAAATAGGTAACTATTTAAAACTTACCAAATTCTCCTCTATCCAATGTTATAATTTCAGGATCATCATCATAAATGCCTATCAAAAACAACAACAACAAAAAAAGATGCTTTTTATTTTTGTCATCTTTAAAATAAAGAACCAAACTCTAATCTTGCTTACAGGAGAGAATGAGGAAAGTGTACCTCATTTGCAATAGTAACCTGGCAGAGCTGGTTTTCACAACAAAGTGCATTCATTTGGTGATAGGTAATCTTCATTTAATCTCAGGTGAAGTTCCATGACCTCACACTAGAGAACTTTTCATCAGTTCTTTTGCTGTTTTAGTAGGTTAATCACTAGGTAAGCAAAGAAGTTAAACTATCCCTTTATACCAAGGAACAGTTTAATTATACGGAAGGTAAGGTATTACAGCAAAAGCATAAGGAATAGCAGTTGCCAGATTAAAAATGAGGTTGACATGAAAAATGAAGAAGCTTCCGTTCTAGGCCCCACATCAGAGAGCGAGCTATATTTAATGTCTGAAAGCTTTCACTTCCTCCTTCTGCCTCTGATTATCTGAACTAGATCATAAAGCCCTTACAGATACAAATTCTTTCACTAACTGTATAGGTATAATAAACTGGAATAAAATGCATAGAATAAAGGTAAGGAGGACGGGTCTCCTAAAAATTGAGCAATCTTACCTAGAATGTCATTTAAATATTGCCAACTAGTCTGAGCACTCAAACAAAGCAGTACGGGATGCCAAAAATACTATTAAATAGCAAATATTATATTACTACTGCTACAGATCTTTTACAATACCTAATATGGTAAGATCTCATTTCACCTGAGGAGTTCCAGGATTAAATACAAATAAATAACAAAAGAATTTGATTTCCACAGTTGATGAGACTATTACTGGTTTGTTTGTTTGTTTTATATTACAGGTAACATATTACACATGCACGTATATTGACTAGGTATATATACTCCAAATGATACTGTTAATAGAAGTTCAAGGATACTCTTTCTCAGTCAAGCCTTGCAACTTCAAACAGATTTTTTTTTTGTTGTTTAGCTGTTTACTCAAGAAGTTCTAGGCCAATTCCCACTCTCCCACCCATAGAGTGGTGGCACTCTATGCCACCAGAGGCATAAACCATTGCCTCTGGTTTACGTAGTTTCAATTTCTACTGACATTAATTTTATAGAGATTGGGGCATCTTACATCAGATTGCTTTGCAATTTTTTTGGTGCAATTAGAAAAATATATATATATTTTTGCCTCCTAGGTTTGCCTGCTTTGCCAAAGTAGAGGTTCACTTCAGCTTGTTTTTAAACACCAAGCTATGACGCTCCGCTCTAATTTAGTTACCTTTTGTTACTGTTGCCCTGAGAACAGTTCATTCCTGCCAGTTTCCTAAAACTACCTAAACAATTGTTAAGACAAAGAGTAAACAACTTGTGTCAAAACTATTTTAGGTATGATTCTATCACTGTGTTTTCGGTCATGTTCTGTTACAGCTTTACTAATCTCTAATGGTGTATCTGTATATAGAATGGGCTTGAGAGTGCAAAATCTACTTTAGACTGCTTTTAAGTACAAAAAGTCAATGGAAAATAAATAAAAAAGTCTTCTGGCATTAAAGAGTTAAAATGCGTACTGATGAAACATTAACACTGAAATTTAAATTTTAATCCTTAATAAAAAAAAGTTTGGTGATCATAATAAAAAAGGTACACGGAATTAAAAATGCTAGATAAACAGATTATTACTGTTGGTGTATGTTGGACAGCCATTACAAAGATAAGTAAAAAGTTGGGTCAAAGAGAGAAAATGACAGCTACAGGAGAACAATAGAATGGGCAGAAACCTGGAGAAAGACTACACGAGAAATGTGCAGAAAGAACTGGCATAAATCTGAATACTGCATTTACTCATGACTTTTAAAGCAGATCACTAACATAGACCAAAACTTACCAAAATCATAGCGATAGAAGTTCCAGCTTTCATAACGACCACCCTGCTGCTGATCCTCAAGACCCTTCTCTCCATATTTATCATACTTCTTCCGTAGATCTTCATCTTTAAGTACTTCATACGCTCTATTTATTTTCAAAAAATTTTCATGTGCATTTGGATCATTCTAGTTAAAGAGAATTACAGTTAGTAACTGATAAATTGTATTGTACATATACTGCTGAGAAATTAATCCTTGGAAATATTTTTGTATCCCTGTCAAAGATGTCTGCGGTCTCTTGGTGGAAGCTTGCATTACGGAGTAGTCTCCCAACAACCTACAGTAATGCTTTCCTCGAGAGATGTCTTCTGCTCCTTCTTAATCCCAATTTTAAAACCTCTGCTAAAAAGAACTCTCTCTTCTGATCTTACACCGCAATAGCCTCCTTTGTATTTAAACAGCATTTTGGTTCTAGGTAGCTTCAGTAGTAGAACGGCAAAGTATCTACAACCATGTTTAGAACTGCAGTTTTGCATATGAGATGATGCAGGTGTAACTGCGGTGAGCAAAATCCATAGCACTCTTCCATCCCTTTACCTTCTGCTTGAAAGCATGGTTTCAAAAAGACACTTTTTAAAGCTATCTTTTGAAGGTATCAACACAGGGAAATTATAACCAGTTAATGCCTGCAAGTTGGGATTTCTAAATTTGTTGATATTTGACTACTCTGTTTCAGGGTGTGTTCAGTTGCCGTCAAGTTAATCTACGGACAATCGCATGCATCTTCCAGAAAAAGGGAGGAAGAGGCCTCCCGAAATAGGCTCCAGGTATCCATACTTCATTTCTTCAAACACGTATTTACTTCCTCTTTTTCACACTACAGAGTTTGTCTGACATTTTTCTCTTTGAGCTTTCTCGTTAAAATCCAAATGTAAAAACACTGGCACTTCAGATGCTTCAGGGTGCCCTGTGTGGGTACACAGACAGTTTTCTGTGTTCAGCTGCACATATATTTAATGATCAGCACCCACTGCTCCCAGTCTTCTTACTCTAGTCACCGTACAGCTCCTTTTTGCCTTCCCTCATTATGCCTAGGCAGGTCCAGGTCTTTTGCTTTGTCCTTTCCAGTACTTGGAGACTGATGTCCGAGCACCACCTAGGCCTGTTTGCTCTTTAGATGAGACTTCATGGTAGTGGGACAATAAGTAATGGCTCAACAGAGAGACACAAACTCATCAGATCACCAGAAACATGATGTGGAACAGATATAAACTGTTCTTCCTTTATATATATATATATATGTATATAAAAAGATTAAGAATCAAAAGATCTTCCTTTATTTTTACGACAGCATTTTCATACGGCTTAAGTTCAGTCCAACAATGTATTACCAATGTAACCCTTTCTGCGCCTTTTCTGTGTGAATAATGTAAGCTGAACCATATACTGGGTGGTTACATTACTTCAAATGAGTTTTAAACCTACATGGAAACATTTTAGACAAAGAGTCTTATTGTTTAATCCAACCACACTGACCTGTTAAAGATGCAACTTACCTGATTTTTATCAGGGTGTAACTTTAACGCCAGTTTCTTGAAAGCTTGCCTGATTTCCCTACTGCTTGCCTCTTTGGATACTCCAAGCAAACTGTAGTAGTCCCGATCAGTGCACACGAGAACTATGAGGCACACCAACACCACTAGCAACGACCTGAAACATCTAGCACAGTCTCCCGTGGAGAACACGAGCTCCATGCTAAGTTTGGGGATGTTCACTGGCTCTGTGGACGGTCTCCAGAAAACTCCCGACGTGCAGGAGAGCAGCATAAGCAACAGGGCTCCTCGCAGTTGGGCTCGTCCCGCTTCACATCACGAGCCTCCCAAAACTCGCAGGCTGCAAAGAGCGCAGGGAAGCCGTTCAGCTCGCGCCTCGACTTGGTTATTAGCACACGCGTTAGCCGCGTTACTGCCGAGTGTTTGCAGACAGGCAGGAAGGGTAAAGCTCGCCTCGAAGGCCTCGCAGTTGATTAACGGTGCGAGCTCCGCGGTCTCTGCGCCCTCAGCGGGACGCTGGGCGTGAGCGGGAGCCCCGCACGCACGAGGTGCTGCACACTTACATCACCTAAGAACGCAGATGTATGTATGTGTTTGCGTGCGTATAAATGTGTGTGCGGGCATGTACGTGCTGCTCGCTTCCCGCCGCGGCCCCCGGCACGGCAGCCCCCGCCC